TACATATAATTTTACATAACAGCAACTGTGACCTCAGTGGTAGTTTTATAATATGTTTGTATTATATGATCTCAGGAGCATCTATTTACACTTAAACAACAGAATTACATATTCAATCTGTAAAAAGTGCTAAGTGTGTTCCTGTACTCGTGAACTCTTTAATAACTTGGGTCTTCCTAGCAGTAAGTGGCCCATGTCATGAAAACCATTGTCTATATCAAAGGGGTACATGGAGAACAGCTAGATAAAAAGAAGAGTTTATATTAAACAGTAAATAAGGAACTCAGTGCATGGCCTTATGGGATGCCCTCAGTATTCCAAAGTCTTGTATTCCAGGATGTTGTATAGTGGAGTGGCAAAAAAATGTGAAATAAACTGGAGAATTAGAGGGAGACATGAACATTCACATCTGTCAAACACACACAGTGGCATACAGATTAAAAATAACATTCAAAGAAAAATTCTAGTGCTTAAGGAGCATACTATAGTGACCCAGAAGTTTAATTTTATGAAATGTACTTTTTGGTGAAGAAAGTTAGCACATAATAACTCTTCATACAAAAGAATCTTGGTTTATCTGTCTGAATTGAGAATTCCTTTCTCAGAACTTGTTACCCAATAACTTTCTTTCCTTTCATACAAGACATTGAGTTGAAACTAAGTGCTTCTATGTGCCAGGCTAGGCTGTTTTAATATTTAGCTTACTAGCTATTGGCTCAGAGTGCTTTACATATATTATTATTATTATTATTTTGACAGGCAGAGTGGACAGTGAGAGAGAGAGAGACAGAGAGAAAGGTCTTCCTTTTGCCATTGGTTCACCCTCCAATGGCCGCCGCGGCTGGCGCACTGTGCTGATCCGATGGCAGGAGCCAGGTACTTCTCCTGGTCTCCCGTGGGGTGCAGGGCCCAAGGACTTGGGCCATCCTCCACTGCACTCCCTGGCCACAGCAGAGAGCTGGCCTGGAAGGGGCAACCGGGACAGAATCCGGCGCCCCGACCGGGACTAGAACCCGGTGTGCTGGCGCCGCAAGGCGGAGGATTAGCCTAGTGAGCCGCGGCACCGACCGCTTTACATATATTATTTACTTGTCATAGAAGTCCTGTGAAGGTTCAAACCGAAAAACAATACAGGTTATTCAGGTCTCACTAGTGGTGGCTGTCTATCAGTGATATAGCATTTATTTAAACATAGAAACTAAATAGAAACCCAACTTGTAAATCTGAGAATGCCCCAGTTAACACAGGACATCATCTGCAGCCCACCTGTGCTGGCAACATAGTGAAAGAGGGGCCCTTTGTCTTCAGTAATCCCTTTGCCTAGTCTCACCACTTTCTTTCCCTTCCCCCTTTAGATGCATTACCATTGCTTTTGCCCTTAATTTGATTAATCTAATAATGTAATAGGTTAAGGAAGTTAATTCCTTGTTGTGGATGTTTAGATCCATTCACATGAAACTGTGTCTGTCGTATTTTGATGAACACTTAGATCGTTTTTGGTGAGTGGTTTTGAAAGGAGTAGAAAGAAAACGTTTTGTAAAGCAAAAATGTAATCATCTGGGAAGTCTAATGTTTATTACATAGACTTTTTTTTCCCCATTGTTAGTTTCGATTATGAAGATGCTGGCTACCAGGCTGCAGAACTTGTCAAAATGGATATTCTATTGAATGGAAATATTGTGGAGGAGCTAGTAACGATTGTACACAAGTAAGCTGAATGCATGCTAATCATGGACTTTGAAACTAATCACTTTGATAGTCTCTCTGTAATTATGGGTTGTCCAATTTTATTTGAGTAGTTAGATTTTTAAAAATATATTTCATTCTACTAGTTTTTCTTTCTATTTCCTTCCCCACCCACACTTCTCTTTTCAGGGAGGATAGAATTATGGTATTCAGAAGGAACAGTGTCATGTAAAAAAAAGTGTTGCTCTTACCAGATAAAATAAGTATTCTAAGCTTTAAAATAACAGATTTAGGATTGAGAACAAAAATAATTTTTATGTTCATAAAAACTGATAACATCCACATATTCAAGAACTGGCAGGTTGTTAAGAAAAATTATGGGGCACCAATTATTATATTAAGTCATTAAAACTAGATTATGGACTAGTGACAAGAATATTTAAATATGAAGGTAAACTATCTGCATATTGATTTAACTAAAGAAAATTGTGAATGCAGAAAAATGACTAAAAAGATATACTTTTAAAAATTTTAAAATGTGTATTAACTGGTTTTAAATGGGTGCGGGCATGAAGAGTGGTTTTTATTTTCTTAATATATCTTTCTAAATTTTCTGTTATATAGAATATAATTTTTAGAATAGAAAAGCATTCATGATTCAGAGTATAAAATGTAAGTTCCATTTAAACCTCCTTAATAAGTCACTTTTACATTGATTATGTATGTGCATTAGAACATGAGAATTATTTTTCTGTCTCAGAGACAAAGCACACTCTGTTGGGAAAGCCATATGTGAACGTCTAAAGGATTCTCTTCCTAGGCAGCTGTTTGAAATAGCAGTTCAAGCTGCAATTGGAAGTAAAATCATTGCAAGAGAAACGTGAGTGGAAATTCATTTTTGTTCCTGGGCAAGTTTGAGAAATGATATACCTAGAATACTAGAGTACCAAAAGATTTAACTTAATATCAGCGTAAGCTTTTAATTTAACTTGTAGAAACAGTATGATAGAGCTGTCAATTCCATTGATTTAAGTAATGACAGTATTATATAATACCCCTAGGTGATGCTCATTATAGTTAATATAATGTATTTGAGTTGGAAGCAAAGCTTTTATTTCCCATTTTATCAAATGACTGAATTGAATTTCCTGAGTAAGGTATCTGTGTGGTTTTATCCCTTCAATTAGATAATAGCTAACAGAAACTGAAATGAAATGGTTTTATCTCCCAAAAGACAAAATTAAGATTTTTTTTTTTACCTGAAGTATTTGATATCACTTCCCCAGAGAAGGAGGCCTTCAATCAAACAGGAATGCTTATACCAATAGGCTTTGCATTCTAGCTTAGGGACCTCATAAAGATTCCAGTATACCTGGAAGGAAGACAGGCTAATTACTGTTACTATGTGAAATGTATAAATCAGAACACTAAATAAGGTGCTCTACTGTTAATAACAGCAAATGCAAGAAATATATTGCAGTGCTTATTTCCTTCATGATATTAAGGCATCTGGGAACTCAGTTATGAAAAGTTAGAAATTGCTATTAAATTCTGGCTTATTCAGTAGTGGTAAGATATGACCGGCATTTTTTATACAGATGAGATAAATCTAGGGCCATTAGTGGCAATAAATTTCATTTCTTAACACTTTGGTTATTTTGTATTTCATTAACACCCAGAGGTTAGGCAGAGTGTGCTGAAAACCAGAGAATATTCTAGAAAGTGCAATTTAAAACTTACCAAACAATTAAGTGTGATAAGGTAGAGAATACGTTTAGGGGAAACATTTTTTTATATTAAAAAAAATTAAAACAGAGCTATTTTCAGAATTAGAAAAATTTAGAAATTAATTCAGATTTAGAGAGTGATTGGTTTCTAAGTGTTGAGATGGATATATTAAAATTAATTTACCCTGCAATTGATCTCATGAAAATCTAAGTCTCACAATATATTCTTTATCTATATTTTAGCCATTCTTCCCAAATTTGGTACTGAGTAATTAGATAATCATTTTTAATGTTTTTGAAGTAGTGGTAGTAGTTTTATTTTTAGGTTGAGCCTGAAAGAGGCTTATATAATTCTTATACTCAAGGTCACAACATACTCATTTTTGGCCTAATCAAGCCTTACTACTGCAAGTGTTGACTTTTTTCTTAACAAATATGTGCTGATAATATGTTGAATTGTTTTTTTATGCTAATCTAAGTACATAGAATAAATACAACATTTGAGCTATCTTAATTATTTGCTTACAGCAATTTTATATCAGTGAAGATACTGTAATTAAAATTCTTTAGTAAAAGGGAGATTCTTTTTGGACATACAGCACTTTTAAACAGCATAATGAAATTATTTACTTAAACAGAATTTCCTCTGTTACAGTGTGAAAGCCTATAGAAAAAACGTTTTGGCGAAATGTGTATGTATCAAGTTCTGTGTATTCTACCTTTTAGTATGTCTATTTTATGTGTAAAGATGTGTGTATTGGTTTATTTGAGAGGTAGAGTTAGAGACAGGGAGAGAGAGAGAAAGGTCTTCCATCCGCTGGTTCATTCCCTAGATGATCAAAACAGCTGGAGCTGAGCCGACCTGAAGTCAAGACCAGGAGCTTCTGGTGTCCCATGTGGGTGCAGGGGCCCAAACAGCTAGGCCATCTTTCACTGCTTTCCCAGGCCAAAGCAGAGAGCTGGATCAGAAGAGGAGCAGCTAGGATACGAACCGGTACCCTTATGGGATTCTGGCACTGCAGGCGGAGGCTTATCCCACTACGTCACATCGCCAGTGCAGTCTTAAATATTTTTATACTAGTTACTTCTATGATCTGGGTAACATGTTTTGTTAACATAATACATAAAGATTTTGAAAGATAAAAGGCTATGTCTTCTGTTTTGAAGAATATGTGAAATCTACTTCCTATGTTGCTTTGCCAAAGTTTGCTGCTTCAATTATGAAGTTATTCTTGACTCTGTTATTATGAGAATTGATAAATTTTTTCTAAATACTTAATGTGTGTAATTTGTGCCTCTGTGATTAAGAGTTTTCTCCATGAAAATGTAGCTTTATATCCAAAATTAAACCTTGACTCAATGAGATTGGCAGTTCTTAACTGGATATGCATTTTGTAATACTATATTTCTTTGCAGATCTTCATTTCCACTCCCTAAAAAAATTACAGCCATTACCATTGAGAAAGTAGTGTAATTAGGATTAACAAGGAAAATTAGATAGTAACTTGGTAGATGCTATCTCATGTAGGTGGTTAGGATTGTGTAATTGTGTATTTTTGGAGTGATTTAGACTTTAATTTTTAAAAATATTTTTCAGTATGGTGGTGATATTACCCGAAAAATGAAACTTTTGAGGAGACAAGCAGAAGGAAAGAAGAAACTGAGGAAAATTGGCAACATTGAAGTTCCAAAAGATGCTTTTATAAAAGTTCTGAAAACACAACCTGATAAGTAATTGGTGGAAAAAAATAAAAGAATTTTCATAAATTAAAAACTTTACTTTTTATTGTAACTTATTTTGACAATAATAATGAAAACTGTAAAACTTTCTTGTTACTTTCAGAGTTCCCAGATTTAAATAACTTTAGTGCATTTCTTTGAAAGGGAATGGTGAGTGGATAAGAGCTAGGATCCTGAAGCCAAATTGTGTAGTCTCAAATTTGTGTTCATTAACTCACTAGTAAGGTGACCTTGGCCACATAACTCACTTTTGTTTCTTTAGTAAAATCAGGATTATACCACTGCTGCTTCCATAGGTTCTTAATGAAGGTTTGGTGAGACAACACATTTCAAATGATTCAGAAGGGTACATGACGCATATTAAGCACTCAGTGAATTATAACTTTTTGTCTTCATGTATTTTTTTATTACTGATACTGAAAGGTCTCATACTTAATTAGTCCATCTAGTTAAAGTGGTTGGTACTAGCAACACTGTAACTAAAGACAGCTTAGTTATATAAATTTCATAATGGAAAAGACTGAGCTTTTAGGTAAATAACCTACCAAGGATCACACAACCTATAAATGGCTCTATTAACTTCTAAGCTCTTAAATCCTATGTTTACTCAGTGCACAAACCAGAATACAGATTGTATTGTAACAAGATAAAATAATTTAGCTATTAATTTTTTTGGCTTCTACATTGAATCTTTTAGGATTAAGAATAGCAGTAACTGAATTATACTAAGATTGTTAAGAGATTTTAAAATGTTAAGACAGTGGGGATGTGCCTAAAATTATATGTAGAGGTTATTCTTTAATTTAGTCTAGTTGTGTAAGTTAATCAGCTCATGTACCTTCTTCCTTGTAGCTTAGAGAACACAAATATGGAACTCTATGACAATAGTATTTTAAATAATGGCAGTGTAATTCCCTAGGCAAAATTTCTGTCCAGGGAAAGTTTCAAGTTGGTACCTGTCACATAATATGGAATAGGTATATGGTACTTAGTCTTTGTATATTTTAAATTCAGACAAATTTTATCCTTTAGTCTGTGACTCTTTAGAAAAGTCTTATTTGTACCAATAGTACAAAAAAACCATTTTCCAGATCTTAGCATAAACTTAACTTTCCTCTCCAGGCCACTTTTCCAATCAGATGATTTCAGTTTAGAGTTGTGTGTCTTCTAAATGTTTTCCCCAGAAAACCTAATCATTAGTAAGATTTTAACAAACATGAAAATGTTTAGGGGCAGCCTTTTGGTCTAGTACATGTCTTAAGATGCCTGTGTCCCATGTTGAAATATCTGGGTCTGAAACTCTGCTCCATTCCAGACTCCAGCGTCTCGCTTATAGACCCTGGGAGGCATTTGGGTAGTGGCTTATGTGATTGAGTTACTGACACACACATGGGAAACAGGGACTGAGTTCCCAGTTCCCAGCTTCAGTCACCTCCCCTCCACCCATTTCAGGCAGTTGGGGAGTGAACCAGTGGGTGTGAGCTCTTTGTTTCTGCAACTCAAATTTCATTTTAAAAACAATACTCTTTTTGGGGATTGATTGATTGATTTGACACACAGTTACACAGAGAAGCAGAGAGAGAGTGAGATCTTCCACCCACTGGTTCACTCACTTCCCGATTGGCCTCAGCAGCCAGAGCTGCGTGGATCTGAAGCCTGGAGCTTCCTCGGGGTCTTTCCACATGGGTGCAAGGGCCCAAGGACATGCGCCATCTTCCACTGCTTTCCCAGGCCATAGCAGAGAGCTGGATCAGAAGTGGAGCAGCCGGAACTTGAACTGGTGCCTATATGGGATGCCAGCACTGCAGGTGGCGGCTCTTCCCGCTACATCACAGCTCTGGCTCCAAAACAATATATTTTTGAAAAAGCATTTAAAAATGTACCCACACATTTTTTAAAACATGTTTAAGCAATGATAAAGTAGCCACCAGAGCTACTGGCTTCCCTTATTTACTCTTAATAACTGAGGGGAAGATGACAAGACTGACTTACTGCGTAAGTTCACAGTTATTGACAGCTGGGATTCAAACAATAGCTTCTTTTTGGAAAATATGTATTTATTTGAAAGGCAGAGTTTACAGAGAGACCTTCTATCCACTGGTTCACTCCCCAAATGGCTCTAACAGTGGGAGCTTGGCCCAGGAGCTTCTTAAATTTCTCCCATGTGGGTGCAGGGTCCCAGGTACTTGGGCCATCTTCCACTGCTTCCCAAATACATTAGTATGGAGTGCGATCAAAGTGGAACAGCCAGGACTTGAACTGGTGCCTTTAAATCACAAAATAATTGGTGAACTATGCACTAAAACATGTATTTTTAACTTTTTCACTATTATGCCATACATATGACCTTCTAAGGTAGGGTAATTTGATGTAACAATTTGTTACTATTACCAGAAGTGGGAGAGGAAGATGTTACCAATTCATTACTCATCTATTTTATCTTTATTTTATTTATATGAAAGGCAGACAGTCATTCTCCCATCTGCTGGTCCATTTCTCAATGCCCGTAATAGCTGAGATGGCGCCAGGCCAATCCAAGAGCTGAGAACTGAATTGGAGTCTCCCACATGGATAGCAGAGGCCCAACTAAGCCATACCTGCTGCACCAATGGTGCACGTTAATGGGAAGCTGGAATCCAAAGTCAAGTCTGGAACTGAACCCAGGCACTTGGATATGGGATGCAAGTGTCCAAATGGCTAAAGACCTGACACTCCTAAGGAATTTAAAATCTATTTATAAGGCTATTAAAATGTCATCATCTGGAATTAAAGCAGCATATTTACCCTTGTTTTATTTGTATTTCATTTTTTATTAATATTTTAAGCTTAACTGAAGTACATTATAATCACAATAAAGTATTTAGATTATATATAATGGTTCTTCTACCAGGCAGGCTTATAAATACAAAATAAAATAATACAAAGGCAAGAGTGCATTGCTTTTACTGGCCATGGAATTAACACTGACAAATGACAGGCAGAGATACTGTTCCTAATGGCAAACCACAAGTAAATGCAGGCTTACAGGTACTAATTTTTGAATTCTCTCAAATGCAAGTGTTAATTTCACTTCTGGAAATGAAATTTAGATAACTTATTTGTTTGCTATAAGCTTTATTTGAGATAAAGATAGAAAACAATAGAATTTTATTTGCACTTTCATTATGCAAGTTATGGCAATCTAAAATAGTTTACAATTTAATTTCATATTATTCTTTTAGGCATTTGATATATAAGAAATAAAGCTAATCATTTATGAAGTATAACAACAATCAGAAAATAGTCTTTTTAAAAGAGTTTTCTTACATATGTTGCTATCTAGATATAAAGCTCTTAACTGCCAAGATTCTTAAAGTAAGGGCATGAACCCAAGCCATTAAATAAAAATCACAGCGTATTTATAAAAAAGTGCTATAGAAGAAGGTGCACAAAAACATGCACTTACACATATGTTCAAAAGGATGTAAACTGTACTTTTAGGCACTGTCATCTCTTCTTATTTCCTTTACAAATAACAGCAGGACGGTTGATGTCCAAATGCTACTGCAGGAAGATATGTAAGGCAACCACGTGCAGAAAAGCATGTATATAATGCACAGGAAATACAAGGATAGCATTCTAAAAGGAAAGGTTTGTGGTGATGGTTGATACTTGAAAGGCTTGGAGTGTAATCTTGTAATTAAAAATCTGTGATTGCCGCTGGAGTCCTGTCACAATTGGTATCTTATGTGCACATCTTTACCTTTAAAATGATTTTAAACAGGCAGAAATTTCATTTTTACGCTGTTTTATAGGTGGTGATGTGGCTTCTGTACTTCATAATTAATAGTCAATTGTGTAAGCCAACTACTCCTAAACCCTAGTGTAAAACAGACACTAATTCTAAATATGGAATGTTTAACATACGTGTTGGACTTATTTAAAAAGGCAATTTTCTGAATTCCCCATGCTTTATCATATTGCATAGCTGAAAATTCATCTACTACTTAAAGTGTTCTGTTCATTCAAGCAGACTTTTGCTTCAATCTCCTTCAATCTCCTTCTTTCATACTGTGTAGTGGATCCACAAGTTTATTGTGCACATGCATTAGACCTTAAAGAAAAGAAGCACAGTCCTAGTTGTGGTTTTGTTAATTTTGAACTACTTCATTTACTTTAAGATACAAGATGTATAAGATATAGTATATATATCTGGTTTCCATCTTAAAGAAATGGTTAAGTTTATTGAAAAAAATGCAAAGAGAAACATTTCAGAATGTTTAAACTACCTAGTAAATACTAATTCACAATTACTAGTATTGTAAATACTAATTTAAAGTTATTTACAAAACAGTGTAGATATAGAATTGTGCAGGTACAGAATTAGTAACAGTTATCCAGAGAGCTTCAGTATGAGGAGATAAATGTGATCACTGACTTGGTAAATGCATTCTAATTATATCTAAGAGTTTATGTTGATTTGATCTTCTGGGAGTTCCTCTACTACACTCCAGGGAGGGGCTCAAAATGGCTGTCATACTAGGGTAGCTTTAGTTCTCCAACGTAATCCTATCTGTTCACGTAGCAAATTGTTCTTCTGTTATTTTGGCACATGTGTACTGATGACAAAGGTTGATCAGATTAACCCATTCCACACTGAGGTTTACTAAAATACAAAATAATAATTTAGAGTAGAAATTTAAATTTAAGTAGATTTAAAATTTCATTTTATAATTACTATGTATGTTTTTGACTGCTTATTAAAGCTTCCTGAGAATTAACTTATTTTCTAGTTACTCATATCCTATATTTCTTTTGAAAATTTTTTGAAAATACTGTGACCTAATTAACAAATGAAAGAGCTTGTATTTTGGAGGTTAATGATATCTGTTTTGTCAGAAAATGGTATTATTAGACTGAGAATATACGAAACTTGTTAGAAGAGTAAATATTTCTTGTTAGGAAGGCTGCAAAAAAGCACTCAAAAATCAAGTCTGTGAGGGAGACCAACTTTAGGGGGTATGCAAAGAGCACTGATGTGTTCCCCAAAAGACAAACGCTGAGAAGCCTCTTCAAAGGAGGGAAGGGAGATAAGCACTCCATTCCTCTGGTAAAGGGAAATGAGAGAAGGCTACCTTCTCCATAGCATACTGTAGGGTCTAATCACAAAGGACAACAAAGATTAAACACAATTTCAGCCATGTTATTTTGAAGATATGTAATTTTCTAGGGAGTCACCCTATAAGGATAATTTTCATACTTAATATATTATGTGGGAGACCACGATGAAGTTCCTGGCTCCTAGCTTCAGCCTGACCCAGCCTCTGGCTGTTTCAGTCATGTGAAGAGTGAACCAGTGATGGAAGATCATGTTCTCTGTCTCTTCTTCCCTCTCCATCACTCTTTCAAATAAATAAATCTTAAATAATGTTAGTTCACTTAATGGAAGTAAAATAGTGCTCTCATTAAACTGTTGTTATAAGAATAAAGTAAATAAGTATGCATTAGAACAGTGCCTGGTCATAGAAGTACGGCTGTTATTAAATACTCATTATAATGTAAAAATTTTCTGATAACAAATTGTGGGGGTCAGTGCTTTGACTTAGCAGGTAAAGCCACTGCCTGCAGTGCTGGCATCCCATATGCATGCTGTGTCTCAGCTGCTCCACTACTGATCCAGCTCCCTACTAATGCACCTGGGAAAGCAGCAGAAGGTGGTCCAAGTCTTGGGCCCCTGCACCTACGTGGGAGACCCAGAAGAAGCTCCTGGCTTTGTATCAGCTTAGCTCTGGCCATTTCAGCCATTTGGGGAGTCGGCCAGTGGATGGAAGACCTCTTCTGGATCTCTCTCTCTCTACCTCTGCCTCTCTTTAACTCTGCCTTTCAAATAAATAAATCTTTAAAAAAACATTGGACAAAATCAGACTAATGCAGATATTTAGCATATTAATACTAGAAAAAGACCATGTTAGATCAATCTCCTTAAAACTGGCACTTTAATTTATGGATGAGGATTTTTTTTTTATTAACTAAAAAGGAATCTAATATTTGTAATAAATCTGAAGGACTACCTGGAAATATATGAGTAAATCTCTATCCAGGAGCTCTGCCCTATTCATAACTCATCACTGAGGTGATTCTTATAAAGCACCAATTACATCAAGCATATTTAATTTTTTTATACTCAACCTGGTAAAGTAAGGCTGAGAATTACTGAACAAGACTACAGGAAAAGGTTAAAGGAAAATCAACATGTAAATGTCTGCAAACTCCTGTTTCCCTGTAGAGTTTATTCCATCCTATTTCAACATTTAGCCACTATCACTTTATTTATTTAAAAGGGAGAGAGAGAGACAGAAATGTCTTATCTGCTGGTTCACTCTCCAAAAATGCCTGCAACAGTTGGGCTAAGGCCAGGCTGAAGCCAGGAGCCAGGAGTTCCATGTGGGTCTCCCATGTAGATGTCAAGAATCCAAGCACTTGGTCCTTCATTTGTGTATAGCAGAAGTTGGATTGGAAATATGGAGCACCTGGGACTGGAATCAGGGAATATGATATGGGATGTGAGCTTCCCATGTTTCATAACCTGCTATACCCCAATACCTGCTCCCTTCATAATTTTAATATCTGGGAATACATTTGTTTGAAATTATGAAAATAAAACCTTTGATTAGGTTCTAAACATTGTGAGGAAGTGGGGTTGAGGGACTTCTGGTAAATATGAAAAGAAAATCAGAAAGGGTATAGATGCATTTCCTTTTTGGGTGATTTCTACATACAATATGAAAGTAAACTATTTAAAAAATTCTGAGTCTCAAAAAATGCCTTTACTGAAAATACAGACTGAAGATACTCTATTCTTGAAACAAAAGTAGGAAACTATCCTAGCAGCTACAGTTATCTGAGGTGAAAAGTTTCTATTTTTGAAAGACCTATCTATGGTCAGTACAATGGTTTTTAATAGGCAACGGTGTAGAATTTAACTCAACAGTCATACTAAGTTTTAACTGTCCTCTACAATAGAAAATCTCACAGTCTACTTCTGAAATTCAGTGCTCACCTTTAAAGTATTTCACAGTTTTAACTCTTAATTCTAATGTAGCATCTTCATCACATACAAAAATAGTTCGAGGGTGTTGCTGGAAAGCTGAAACAGTCCACATATGATTGACTCCCTCTTCTATTGCTTTGTACAGGGCAAATGCTTTGTGTGCGCCTGTTATGAGGATCATTACCTGCAAAATCATGAACATCATTTTTAATTAGTAGTTAAAAATGTGACAAATGAGTAAGAACTATTTGTTTAGAAGCAGATTTTTAACTGATATTCCTCTGATACAAAAATAAATAGCTCCCCAATTTCTTCATAGTTCAAACTCCTTATTTCTTCTTGTTAAGGTAACAGGTAAACACAAAGTGCTTCTCATTTAACAAGCAAAATAGTATCTTGCCTAGGGTTGTAAGTAAATATACTGTAATATCTATGATTATTAGTAAAATACATACTGATACATAAGAGACCTGGGCAAATATGAAAAAGACACAAAAGGGCTCATTTGAAAAAGCAGAATGACATGCCTTTAAAGAATTATATAACCTGGTCAAATCCATTAAAAGTAACAAATCATTTCAGAAAAACAAAAGAAAATGAAAACAAAAGATATTGAAAGAGTAATCGGCCGGCGCTGCGGCTCACTAGGCTCTCTCACTCTCCTTTTCTTTATTTTTAATTTTTTTTTTTTTTTTTTTTTGACAGGCAGAGTGGACAGTGAGAGAGAGAGACAGAGAGAAAGGTCTTCCTTTTTGCCATTGGTTCACCCTCCAATGGCTGCCGTGGCCAGCGCACTGCTCTGGCACACCGCGCTGATCCGATGGCAGGAGCTAGGTACTTATCCTGGTCTCCCATGGGGTACAGGGCCAAAGCACTTGAGCAATCCTCCACTGCACTCCCTGGCCACAGCAGAGAGCTGGCCTGGAAAAGGGGCAACCGGGACAGAATCGGGCGCCCCGACCGGGACTAGAACTTGCTGTGCCGGCGCCGCAAGGCGGAGGATTAGCCTAGTGAGCCGCGGCGCCGGCCACTCTCCTTTTCAAATAAATAAAGTGATAGTTGCTAAATGTTGAAATAGGATGGAATAAACTCTACAGGGAAACAGGAGTTTGCACAGACATTTACATGTTGATTTTCCTTTAACCATTTCCTATAGTCTTGTTCAGTAATTCTCAGCCTTACTTTACCAGGTGAGTATAAAAAAATTAAATATGTTGGGGTGCCGGATTCTGTCCCGGTTGCTCCTCTTCTAGTCCAGCTCTCTGCTGTGGCCTGAGAGTGCAGTGGAGGATGGCCCAGGTCCTTGGGCCCTACGCCCACATGGGAGACCAGAAGGAAGCACCTGGCTCCTGGTTTCAGATCGGCGCAGTGTGCCAGCTGCAACATGCTGGCCATAGCGGCCACTTGTTGGGTGAACCAACGGAAAAAAGGAAGACCTTTCTCTGTCTCTCTCTCTCTTACTGTCTAACTCTGCCTGTCAAAAAAAAAAAAAAAATTAAAAAAAGTAATCTAGAGAAATCTGAAGATTGTTTTATTGAACATATACTATCTAAAGTTGTCTTGGAACAAAAACTAGATTTAAAGGATTAGGCTTTTACTCAAAGGAGAGACAGTCTAACCCATATGTATACAAACTACAGAAAATCCAAGCTCTTGATCTCAAATCCATAACTGCCTATGAAATAATTCAAAGAACATATGAAAATATGGGTACATGTGTCAAAATGAATCATCATCTTTAGCAGTGAATTTGAATTTTACAATTCAACCAATACAAGTTATGTGATGTAAATTCTCAAATGTGATTTTTTTCCTTATAGTTGTTAAAAATAAATGTTAAAGTTATTATAGTTCTACAATGTAACTATATAGAAACTATTCCCAACAAGTACTAAATATCTACCCTGGGACAGGCCGTGTTGGGTGTTTGATATCATGATCCAAAATCTCATTTTTTCCTCTGAACCTGTTAAGTCCTGCTACTAGAAACAGTTTTGGGTTTCCATATAATTTAATCAATTATAGTCAAGACCTGATAGAATCTGTTGTTTTCAAGGAAGGAAACGGCAGCCCAATTAAAAACTTTAAAATTAGGCAGATTCTACTACTCAGAGCTCTTACATTTTCAAATATACCAAATTTGATCTAACTCTCAACAAGGTTCTTTTTTGCTAGAAACCAATTGGGTTATATTTCCTATATTTAGTCAAGAAGCACTTTATGGTAAATCATCCTGAGGATTCAAAAATAGGGTAGAATGACTAGCACTGAATCTTTGTCCCAATAGTCCTTTCACAAGACTTTGCAATAACACACACACACACACACACACACATATCTGATCAGTGAGATTTTAAAACCCCAAACTGTGAAGCAAGAATAGGCAAGTGAAGCAGTAACTAAAAAGATGTGGTACTTACGTCTTAAATTACAGTTCTGAAAAACTTAATTTATTTGGTTCCTAAATATGGTAATGTTACTAAACAAAAGTTACTAAACTAAAAACTAGGAAACAATTTATACTGCAAATACAACACAACTAAAATGTCACTTATTCCACTCCAAAATAGATAAACATCAAAGTGAAAAGATCAAAGAACATTTAATTCTTACTTCTCTAGCATCCATCACTGTCCCCACACCAACAGTTAGAGCCATAGTTGGCACTTTTGATAAATCTCCATCAAAATATTTAGCATTTGCCAAAATAGTGTCCATTGCTAAAGTCTTTAATCTTGTCCTTGATACTAAACTGGATCCTGGCTCATTGAAAGCAATATGACCATCTGGACCAATTCCTTTCAAAAGAAATACACAAACACACAAATGTACATATAAAGTAAACAGGGTTTCTCACAGATATAAAAGCATTTGCTCAAAGTCTTATGTGGTTCAACAGAAAGGAAAGAGTTATAAACACACTTACCTTGTTTCATTTTATAGCTAGATTCCTAATACTGCATTAAAATATTTGTCTCTATATTTGATTCAATAGATATTTCCATGTTTTCTGTAATGCTTAGCATTGAGCTACCATGATTCAAATGATAGCAGTAAAATTAAGCATTAGCTTATTTTAGTATACTTCAGAGCTTATAAAGCACTTTCACATGCATATTCACCAATTTTTTTAAGACAAAAGGAAACTTGGAAGCTTAAGGAAAACACGATACTTATTTAGGTTAAAATTTAGCAAATACTAAACTAAGACAGGAATCAAATCTAAGTCTGTGATTCCCAACTCAGTGGCCTTTAAATTCATATTTCACTCTAACTGCTTCTACTCCAGAAGCGGTAACTAAACAGTGAACCTATTTCTAGTTTCCTTACTTTCAAAAATGTATAGAGTAGATAAAATATTATCTATAGCAGCAATTTTTTCAAAATTTTGACTATTTTAATAACACTCAACACTCTAATCTGTTATTTACTGTACCTACAGATACACACAGATATATAAGAATTGCATGAACTCATACTTACCCTTAGAAGCCATTCAAGCTACTTTCTATTACATTCTGTTTCATTAACAAAACAAACAAAAAGGGAATTCTAGATGCAACAGACTACTGATGAAATAAACTGATAATGATGGGTGACAATCAGTTTCAAAAACACTGCTTTACAGAGACCTACTGCCAGCTCTAATGTTCTAACATTGCCTCTAAAATACAGATAAGAATGTAGTACCCCTTATTTGGAAGAAATGGGAAACAATTCTTTTCATGAAATCAACAATCTTTCCATGAAATAAATCAAGTTTTATGAACATATGCCATAGTAATTAGTCAGATTCTGGCAAACTCAATCAAAAACTAAACCTGCAAGTTCTCGAGTCATTAAAATATCTTTTACATTTATATTCTGTACATTTACTTTGATGCAAAGACAGGTATACACCTTACAGACACACACCATACAATATGTAACTCCAGCAAAATTTCCCAAAGCCCAGGTATATGACAGAGTAACCTGGTTTTGAAGAATGAAGGAATAAAATATTCTATAAAACAGATATAGTTTCCAAAAGTACAACAATCTAAGAACTTTTAATGTGGGCACATACATTTTGAATGTGAGGTCCTAGATGTGTTTACAACAGTAGATTACTTCTACTAATCTGTTTATAAATTATAATTATAGATGCATATTTCTCTCTACATTTGTAAGTGTTCTATTTCTCCTCTTAGGTATACATATGTACAAATATTTATATTTCTCTATATATGTGAAAAGAAAGGATGAAATCAGGAAAATAAAGCTCCAGAAAAAAATAAGTTTACTAAGATTAATACTCTCAGATGACTTGGGCCACGCAGATGTGTACAGGTAGGCTGAAATTATAAGCAAAGATTAATAAGGGAGAAGGTATACATTCACTTATTGCCATCGTTAATTAAAAACTGAGTTTCCTGCTAAAAATTATTTTTAATGCAGTAAATTCTTTAAAAAAATTATATACTCATTAATTTGAAAGGCACTGAGTGAGACAGTTTTCCTCCTCTGGTTTATTCCCAAAATATCTGCAATGGCCAGAGCCCAAGCAGACCAAAACCAGGAGCCAGGATTTCAATCTGTGTCTCCCAAATGGGTGGCAGGGACTTAGCCACTTAAGTCATCACCTACTGCACACCAGTGTGTGTATGAGCTGGAATTGAAAGTGGAGTCAGGACTTGAACCCAGGCACTCAAATATGGATGTGGGTGTCCCAAGCAGTGTCTTAAAGGCTAGGCCAAGTGGCGTCTCAAATGTGGCCAATTTGTATTTGGCCTCTAGGTCTACATTAAGACATTAGTACCACTATGAAACAGCTCCAAAGCTCAGCATATAAATTATATGTCTCCCCAGTATTCCCAACTCCTGCAGGCAGAATATAAATTTCATGAAAGTCAGGACTTCCTCTTCATTACTGTATCTTTACCATTTAAAATAACATATGCATGGGTGGCACTCAATAAATAATAATTGAATAAATGAATGATGGTTGCTATTCTTTGGTCTTGTAGTATAATCTCTCAATTTCTCTTCTGCTATGTTCTCACTACAGAAGCTAAACAATTACAGTTCTTACACAGAGTGTTTGTGTTCTAGATAAGCACTTGTCCCAAGTTGAACCAATCAGAATCTCTTTCCCAGTTAGAATTTTGACTATGGATCTAGAAAGAAGGCATCTAGAACTGAAGCACTGGACGATAGCACTGCAGGGACAAGGGTGATCAGAGCCTAATTCTAAGATCTCGGGTTCCAAAGAATTGGTTGTTTTAACTCTTCCTTCAGTTTTGTGCTACCCCAATATCATTCCAGTTCATTTACTTTCAGTCAACTGCAGTTACTGGCAAACCAAATAATCCAATTATGTAACAGAAGGTTAAAGATCTCCTCCACCTTTTTTTTTTCTTTTTTAAAAAACAAAGAAAAAAAATGGTATTTTAAAAGTTAATATATTTAGGTCTTATTTATAAAAGTCCAAGTTTTATCTTAATGTTGGGGCAGGCAGGAATTCAAGATTACTCTGTCTCTTAACACTTTTGCCATCAGAAAAAAATCTAAGAACTTTTAGAATATATATTTTCTCTTTAAACTTCTCTAACAAGGTGTTAGAACTCCTGCATTAATGCCCTGGAGTGAATAATAGCAGATTAACATTCTTGAGCTCTTTTCATTCTGTTTCCAATGCAGAGGAGTAGAAAACCCCATTGTGGCTTCAAGCCCAACCTGCAATCTCTATTCCAACTTTACCTTTAATAAAGCTGATATTTTGATCCCATTTGGCACAGTTCTTAGAGTTTTTATTAACCAAACCCTGGAACAAAAGAAGGGCAAGTGGTAAGACCCAGATACCAAGCCTCATCTTGAAAATCCAATGATAATTAACCCAGATCAATAAATGCAAAGAATCAAATGAGATTCTTTTAGGAGTACACATTCAATGAGTAAAAAAGTATCCCAAAGAGGAAAAAATTCAAAGAAAATGCAGTAAGCTAACCCTTCTCTTCTTATGGACAGAGTAATTGCATCCTTCAAATGGTACAGACCCTGGGCCATCACATGACTACAGTTGAATGTTAGAGACAAGGAAACACTCTTAAATTTTTTTTTTGAAGGGGGGGGCTGAGTTAAGGAGAGAGGTAGACTACTACTGGAAACCTAACTGGTTAAAATGGTTAAAAAAAAAAGTTATTTTTAGTAAGAGTGATAGAAATAAATAATTATAATTTAGGCCCCATCTAGTTTAAAGAGAGAAAGGAGATGGTTTACAGTGAGAAAACATACCAAGAAAATTAGCAAACAAGAAATGATTTAAAGCTATGTGTAAAGGAGTGATTTCTACCACAAATATTGGATAAGAGTTGCTGCCTTAAACAACACATTAAGCTAAGAATGCTTCCTGGAAAGCAGGACAAAAGTACAAAACAGAGTTAAAACAGTTCTTATCAGATTTTTACCCTCAATAAATTCCATTTCCTTGTACTGAGTCTGCAAGGGATTTGTCACATGGATGCATGTGAGAGTTAATAAATAGGGGAAAAAAAGGCCACTAATTAAGACATTCTTCAGTCATTTTCAATGAACCTCTAACAACTAATATACTTTTAAGGCATAAAGCAAAAGAGTGAAAACATTCTTGATACAACTAAGATAAAGAGTTGAGGTATATTATATTACATTAATTCTATTTCATTTAGTATGGAGTTTACCAAATCTAAAGAGTGGGGATTCAGTACACTCTCAAACATTCTCACTGGATTTTGTGTTAGCCTTGATATTAGCAGGTACAAATGGTCATTACCTCAAAATTAAACCAAATGAAAAAATTTGGAATATGTATCAGTAATCTACAGAATTACTAATGTAATATTAGTAAATTTTATTCAAAACATAGATAATTTTCTATTTTAAAAATCAAAACTTGGACTTACTCAGATTAAAGAAAAAAAAAACATTACCAGTCTATTTACACACAAAATATATAGTACTGGCATTGGCTCTGTTATTTATATAGATATCTGGATGTCCACAAGTAATTTGGTTAAAAACCTCAAATTCTATAAACTGAGGCACAACTATGTCAGCATCTTCATTTCAGAGAAAAGAGAAGACTGTAGTAATAAAGAGTGCCAAATACACATCAATATATATGTGTGGTTTTAGACATGTAAAAGTGTGATTAACTCTCACAAATTTTACAATGGTTAATATTAATCCTGTTTTATAAGTGATTTAATTATACTGACAACCAACTACCTCAACCATACTTGGCCACTTCAGCCATAAATTATACTAAATACAGCTTTAGTTTATGTAATTTTGAGTAGTTTTCCAACAAATTACAAACATATATATACAATTTTGTTAATTTAGAACATTAGTATTTTTAGTTGAACATTAAAGAATCTGACAAAAAAATTTCTTAGTTGATATTGTACTATTCTGATGGCAGCTATCTAATCTGTTTCAGATGTTTCATACTGATAACAGAAAACCATGTTGTTACAAAGAAACTGTTCCTCCTATTGTAGATTCCGCCCACATGTGTGTGCGCGTGCATATGTGTGTGTACATATATATAATATTTCAAACAGTATTTGGTTATATATGTATATTACCTATATTTGGTATTTGGTTAATTAAACATTCATTTTCATTTTGGAATTTATTAAGCCAATTATGCAGCTTAACTCATTAACTAAAGGCTGATGATAAAGTCTTACAACATTCTTAAATGACTTTCTCAAGAGATGAAGCCATTTAAATGATCTGCCCACTTGTTCCTCATGTAAACTTATATTCAATTCTGTAATATAATAGTAGGTTTGACTGGACTTCTAAAGAAGTGCTAAAGAGAGAAACTTATCATTTAAGAAAAGGAACAGATCACTCCTCTCTTAAAATATGATAAACTGTTAACCTTAAAGAGGTAATTATAAGATTTTAACAGAGGTACCTTGAGAGGTACCAGCCTTTCAAGGAACAATTTAAGTAATTCTGATTGTTAACTCTTAGAATCTTCAGATAATTCTGATGAAAATAAATTAGAAACAACCAGCTGAATAGGTGGGTTCATACTGTCACTGGTGTTCATTTCATATTGCACAATGGTTAGGATGATTTTTTTTTTTTTTTACAGGCAGAGTGGACAGTGAGAGAGAGAGACAAAGAGATCGTTGGTTCACCCTCCAATGGCTGCCGCAGCCAGCGCACTACAGCCGGTGCACTGTGCTGCTCCGATGGCAGGAGCCAGGTACTTATCCTGGTCTCCCATGGGGTGCAGAGAGCTGGCCTGGAAGAGGGGCAACCGGGACAGAATCCAGTGCCCCGACTGGGACTAGAACCCGGTGTGCCGGCGCCGCAAGGCGGAGGATTAGCTTAGTGAGCCGCGGCGCCGGCCAGGATGATTTTTATTTAAATTAAAATTGGAAGACACTGAATTAAAACATTAGTAGGTAAATGCTTATAGACAAGATATTTTCATATACCTCCGACAAAAAGATCTATTCCTCCAGCTTCTTTAATTTTCATTTCAAATGCATCACATTCTGCTTGTAAATCCGTAGCATTCCCATCAAGGATATGAGCATTCTTAGGATCAATATCAATATGCTTAAAAAAATTATTCCACATGTACGAATGGTAGCTTTCAGGATGGTTTCTTGGAAGTCCTAAATATGAAATTAATCAATAAAATTTAACTCATTCCAGAAATAAATCTAAACTTTCTTTTTCTGCAACAAATGCCACTTGAAATAGAACCTTTTTATGCCATATTCTATTTAATAGCACTTTCTGTGCAATATGTGCGTATTAAAGGCCCAGCATCTTATCACTTTACATATATGTATAATGCAATTAACTTATAAAACATCTATGGAAACACTATTATCATTCTCATATTATTGATAAATGAAACACAAAGAACTTTTCTCAAGTCACAGAGTCCTACAGAGAGGCCAGGATTCAAACACAAGAAGTCTAGTTCATGTACAAGTAACCACCTTACTCCACATCTCAAAAACACAAAATTTTAATCAATGGAACAGACTTTTTTTAAGCTCAAAATAAATTAATTAGCTAATTCAACTGAAATGTTAGCCATGTTCATCATCTATTTTTCTTACACACGTGCAAAGTATATTGAATCAGTTTTTTTGACTATCACATTACCATTAAAAACATTCCTATATTTATCTTTTAATACAGTTTCAAAATAATACAGAACTTTCCAGGTAAGTAAAAAAAATGTTAAATACATTATAAAAGCTACACAGTTAAAATACAGTCTTTTATTTAAAAGTCTTTATTTTACTAATTATTTTTATATAAAATTACTTAAATTTTTCCCACAACAATGATTTTTAACTCTGCTTTAAGAATTAAAAAAAAAAAAGGTATCAAGAAATGAAAATGACTGGCTCAAAGTTACATGACAATCACTTCTCGGCCTTTTGGCTAAGATCAAGTGCAAAGTTACATGATGGATAACTGACAAGAGCCCAAGATGAATGATTTCTAGTCCCGGATTCTTCCCACTACACTGAGCAGTCATCACAAAAATACAGATTTTTACATAAACTCCCAATCTTATCACACAGTAGGACATTTTATTCCACAGATATACTCTTATATCCAAGATATAAATTAAAGTAACAATATTCTGAAAATATATTCATTTTACTGAAAAGCAAATATACTGCATATCCAATAGATTCAAATATAGCTTACCTACATATTCATCCATATTAAAGGTCTTCACATATTTAAAAGAAAGGTCTCCATTTTTGTGATATTCTATTAGCTTTTTATAGCATCCTAAAGGTGTACTCCCTAAAACAGATAAAGATTCCATTTTCTAACATCAAATAAAAATCATTTTAAAAACATTTATACTTACTTCATTTATTAAATAATCTATAACTTACTAGATAAATGTTAATTTAAATACATTTCAAATTACAAATAAACATTGAACCGATGTCTTTACAATAGTTTGAAACATTAGTCGACCAGAACTTGCCTAATTAAGCTGGAAATCTGTCAATAAAAATTAAAGTTTGGAAAATTATTCCTTTATTGTTGAGTTTTTGGAACTGCTATTACATTTTAAGACAAAACTTCTGGGAAGACACTTAAATTAAAATAAAAATAAACATCCCACTTTCTGAAAGAAATGTTCTAGCGTAAATGATACATAAATAGGTCATATTAGGGCCGGCGCCGTGGCTCACTAGGCTAATCCTCCGCCTTGTGGTGCTGGCACACGGGGTTCTAGTCCCGGTCGGGGCGCCGGATTCTGTCCCGGTTGCCCCTCTTCCAGGCCAGCTCTCTGCTATGGCCAGGGAGTGCAGTGGAGGATGGCCCAAGTGCTTGGGCCCTGCACCCCATGGGAGACCAGGAGAAGTACCTGGCTCCTGCCATCGGATTAGCGTGGTGTGCCGGCCGCGGCGGCCATTGGAGGGTGAACCAACGGCAAAGGAAGACCTTTCTCTCTGTCTCTCTCTCACTGTCCACTCTGCCTGTCAAAAAAAAAAAAAAAAAAAAAGAATATGCTTTTTTATTTTTGCTTTAATATTTATTTATTTACTTGAAAGGCAGAGTTTCAAAGAGGCAGATGCAGAGGCAGAGAGAGAAGAGAGAAAGAGAGAGACAGAGAGATCTTCTACCTGCTGGTTCACTCCCCAGATGTTGACAACAGCCAGAGATGAGCCAATCTGAAGCCTGGAGCTTCTTCCAGATCTCCCACTTGAGAGCAGGAGCCCAAGGCCTTGGGCCATTTCCTGCTGCTTTCCAAGGCACATTAGCAGGGAGCTCGATTGGAAGTGGAGCAGCTGGGTCCTGAACGGGTAGACAAAAGTGATGGTAGCACTGCAGGTGCCAACTATACCCACTAGACCACAGTGCTGGCTCCTAGAATGTGATTCTTTTAAAAGGTTGATATTTGAAAAAGATTTGCTGGTGCTTCATTAAGTGACACCACAGAAACAAATGAATTTAGTCACTTGAGAATGGCCTGTCCGTTTTCTAAATTTGCTGTAGTTGTTTTCAATTTTAATTCCAAACTGAAAGGCTACATTCTCTGTATTCTTACAAGTGACATGGCCCTAATAATCCTGGTTGGAGTACTGATTGCCAGTAATATCACAAACCAAGACAGAACAAATACAGAATAAAAAACTGCACACAGGGGCAGGTGTTACAGTACAGTTGGTTAAGCCACCACTTGAGATGCGCGCACACGATATTGTAGTGCCTGGGATCAAATCCTGCTTCTATTTCCAATCTAGCTTCCTGCTAATGCACCTGGGAGGCAGTAAAAGCCAGTCTAAATACTTGAGTTCCTGCCACCCACTTGGGAGAACTGGATGGAACTCCTGGCTCCTGGCTTCATGCTTGGCCCAGACTTGGGTATTGCAGCCATTTGGGTATTGAACTAGAAGTTGGAAGGTCTTTCCCAATGTCTTTCACATAAATAAATAATCTCAAAAAAAAAAAAAAAAAGGAATGAAAAGGAAAAACCTGCACACAAAATATTTACTCTTGTAGAATAAAAGCAGTTGCTTCAAAAAGGTCATTAAAAATGGAAGTAAATGAATTCATTTTGGTGCAAAACCTTTTGAAATCCATGTATCATTTTTCACAGAACATATTATCCATGAAATTTAAGAATATCACTCCTATAAACCTGACAGAAATAGTCACTGGTAAAAGCACTCTCTCTCTCTCTCTCTCTCTCTCTCTCACACACACACACACACACAAAGCCACAAATTTATATGAAGGAAAACTTTAAAAGATTACCTCTCATTTGAGAGGATGGACTAAAAGTAGCTATAAATAACATTCACCATATAAGTTCAGAGAACAGCATTGTAATAGATTTTCTTAAAGTGAAGCATATATAAATTGTTTTAAAATCATGACTAACCCTTTAAAAATTAATGTGATCAAATTTTATAACTCTTTTTCAAAGAACTATAGTCATCTAACAAGAAAATTGTTTTAAAAATGGATAAATACACAGGGCCGGCACTGCGGCTCACTAGGCTAATCCTAGTGCCAAGAGGAGAATTTTGGGATTTCCCTTACTTAAGTATATATGAATAAAACTGAGAAGCTGCTACAATCTGGAGTCATTTTCTATTTTTTAATCAATAAGGCTAAAGAAAAGAAAAAGAAAGATGGTTCACAATCAACAGGTTTAAAATATTTCATTTTAATATGTGCTATTTAATAAATCATTTTTTGGAGCCGGCATTGTGACGTAGGGGGTAGACCTGCAGCCTGCAAGATCAGCATCCCATATGGATACCGGTTCATGCCCCTGCTGCTATACTTCCAATCCAGCTCCCTGCCGATGGCCTGGAGAAAGCAGTGGAGGATGGCCCACATGTCTGGGCCCCTGCCACCCACATGGGAGATGCAGATGAAGCTGCTGGTTCAGCTTCCCCAAGAGTTGGCTGTTGCAGTCATCTGGGGAGTGAACCAGAAAGAGATGGAAGATCTCTTTCTTTCTCTCTCTCTGTAACTCTGACTTCCAAACAAATAAATAAAAAAATCTTAAAAAAAATAAGTCATTTACTAACACAACTAACATTTATCAAGTGCTCACTATGATACAAATAAAACAAAGGTTATTGATAATATTTCTCATCAATAGAAACTCACAGTAAAGGGATAAAATAACCATGACACAACAAAAAGCATTATTAATCTTTTAAAAGAAATCTGGAACACTATATACATATATATATATATATATATATATATAGTGAACCAATAAAAAAAAGACTATATTCTTGCTTGTTAGAGGAAGGATCAGAGAAGATAGCACTTTAACTGAGTCTTGAAGTACTGCAATTCCAATGAAGACAAGTTGCAATTGAGAACAAAAAAAGACTGTGGGTGGTAGGAGAGAATTTAAAAATGACATGTATATGCCTACCATGTAACTAAGTGCTATGCTGCTGTTTTTATAATCACCTCATATGAATCTCAAAACCCTGAGAAACCTCTATTTCTCATTTTGAAGATGGAAGAACTGAGTTGAAACAAAGAATCTGCCAAATTATCAGTGAAGCCAGGGATTCAAATCTAGGTGTCTGGTTACAAAACTCACATAGATTTCATTCTATAATATGCTGGCAACATGAGCAAAAGCAAAGCAGCTTCTAAACTCAGTTTTTGAACTGCCAGCAGTCTGATTTGCCTCACTCAATTCAGTGCAGGCAAATGGAAGGCATAGGATTGGGAGGCAGGTCATGGTGATAGTATGCAAGCCCTTAAATGTGAAGCTCATTAAGGTCACTTCAGTAAATATGTTCCTATTGAACAAATGTTTCCTAGAAATTGTGCTTGACGGTAGAGTAATTGCAACACAGTATGTTACCTGCAATGTTACGGATGTTCAAGTTTCAAAAGCATTTGAGAGAAGAGGACATAATTAACATTGTCAATGGTCAATGAATGATAGTAGTAGGAAATGCCAACAAGGTTTTCCAGATACACTCTTGGTAGATACATTGCTAGGCAGTTATACTACTCAAAATAAAGTTGTAGCTGTAAATAAAAAAGCAGGCTTAGCACAGCTGGCATTTAGGACTCTTAAGCCTTTCTGTCCCTACACTCAACTCACTGCTTATTTCTATGTCATAATTAAGACAAAGTGATTAAGGCAGGGAGGCTGAATGTTTCCCAGGTAAAGCCTATGCAAACTAATAGAGAAGCAATGTTCAACCACCAAGGTTCACATAACAGAACTGAGAGTGATGATGGAGTATCTAAGTAAAACAAACAAACAAAAAACCCTCAAAATCTCCTTTTGCCACTCTTACCAAGATCTACAGCCCTGGGCCAAAAAAAAAATCAACAATTCACATGGAATTATATTATTTATGGAATCATCCAAGCAGAAAAGAAAATATGACTACCTTTCACACAGCTATTTTGGAATTTTGGAATGAATGGGGAGAAAAGCAGGAGAAAAAAGTCTCTTTATATAAACACGGGAAATTTAAATTTACACAGCATTTATAGTGTACAAGGGACTTACACACACCGTATCTTAATTGAGCCTCAAAACAGCATCTTAAGCTATTATAACCCTTACAGGCAAGGGTTCACAAATGTAGGGTCACATTTGTAGAATCAATGCTTTGCAATCACCCACCAAGTAGCAGCTCTGATTCTAGGTCTAACACTCATGGATGTCATGATTAACAATATTAAATAAAGTGCTGTAAGACCAAAGGACAGGGCCTGCACCGTGGTGCAGGTTAATCCTCCACCTGTGGCGTTGTTATCCCATATGGGCGCCAGTTCTAGTCCCAGCTGCTCCTCTTCCAATCCAGCTCTCTGGTATGGCCTGGGACAGCAGTAGAGGATGGCCCAAGTGCTTGGGCCCCTGCACCACGTGGGAGACCCAGAAGAAGCACCTGGCTCCTGGCTTCAGATCAGCGCTGCTCCAGCTGTTGCGGCCATTTGGAGAGTGAACCAGAGGAAGGAGGACCTTTCTCTCTGTCTCTCCCTCTCACTGTCTGTAACTCTACCTCTCAAATAAATAAATAAAATATTTAATAAAAAAAGACCAAATGACACTATGTGATAATTTTCTAAGAGAACTCTCAACAGAAAATTAAATCCAAATATATATATTTATATAATATATATTACATATATGTTACTTAAATATATATGTAATTAATGCTTAGGTTTATACCAATCTTCAAATTTTTCATTGTTATATTTCTGTAACAGGAAGAAAATAAACAGAGTGAAGGGCCAGTAAGAGAATATAAAACAGGTAAGGAGAAATTAAGAGACAATAGTAAAAATTGTAGGTACCATTTAATGATTAATTAGAAAAAAATCTAAAAAGTTATATAATAGCGAAAGTAATGTCCCTTAAAACAAAGACCATTATTTTTTTTATTTTTTTATTTTTTATTTTTTTGACAGGCAGAGTGGACAGTGAGAGAGAGAGACAGAGAGAAAGGTCTTCCTTTGCCATTGGTTCACCCTCCAATGGCCGCCGCGGCCAGCGCGCTGTGGCCGGCGCACCGCGCTGATCCGATGGCAGGAGCCAGGAGCCAGGTGCTTTTCCTGGTCTCCCATGGGGTGCAGGGCCCAAGCACCTGGGCCATCCTCCACTGCACTCCCTGGCCACAGCAGAGAGCTGGCCTGGAAGAGGGGCAACCGGGACAGAATCCGGCGCCCCGACCGGGACTAGAACCTGGTGTGCCCGCGCCGCTAGGCGGAGGATTAGCCTAGTAAGCCGCGGCGCTGGCCCAAAACAGACCATTAGAAAAAGGTACAAAATACTGTAAGCATCACTTAAGATAGGATATTTCTTGCTTGGAATTAGTAGATAAAATAGAATTTTAACAAAATAAATTTTAATAAAATGTAGATTTTTCTATACCTGTGTACACACATATATATTCATATCTGGTTTCAAATACTGATATGTTTGATCAATGCTAAGGCCAGAAATGAATACAGAAAGTATTTTACTAAGAGAAACTTAATAATTCTATAACCTTAGATAAGATGAATTTATAAAACAGAAAAAGTGGTTGATTACCTGTTGGTAAACCCAATGTAAAGTATCTGTCCTGCCCAGGTTTGAACTGAATGATCCGATTACAGATGTATTTGGCTGCCCATTCACTAGCCAAGTCATAATTTTCAAGAATTACAAGCCTCATGGTAGTGACACACAGCTTCCAGGACAAGAAATTCAAACCTGAGAAAATCACATTGGAAAACACTTTAGATACATTACAGACATTCCAACAGAAGTGTAACACAGCGATGATTTTAAAAAAGAACATTACTTTAAAAGGATACACACTTATAAAAATAAAAATGTAGTTTTAAAACAGTAATCATGGCTGTTCTCTTTTGAGCAGACACTGGCTGGGTTTTAGGCAATGGGTTATGTCATTTAAGTACATATATTAATCCTTACAACAGTCTTGTGAAATAAACCAAACACCTAATTTTAAAGGAAGAGATGAATTCACAATTTAAATTAGGTTTAACAAATAGTAAGTGAGAAAATAAAATTTAAATTAAGGCACTGTTACTACAAAGACAACATAGCACACTACAATTTAATATCTACTCTTACTAAAGTATTATAAAAGAATCCTAAAGGGAAATGAAGTAATACTCATTTGTTGATTACCAAGTCAATGGTAATAACCAAATCTTTCTTCTATTAAACTAGAACTCCACTATTCAAAACTAATTCCAATCATTATTAAATATACATCACTCCAGATATGCATGCATGCATATAGTTGGCATGCACAGAAACAATTTTTAATACGGGGACCATACTATACATACTATTTTGAATAAAAAGTGAATTTAACAAAAGAAAAATAAAAGAAAAACTGCTAATCACTGTGGGAAATTTTTCTTCATAAAAAGTAGCTTTAGTCCAGTGCCACGGCTCACTAGGCTAATCCTCCACCTGCGGCGCCAGCACCCCAGGTTCTAGTCCCGGTTGGGGCGCCGGATTCTGTCCCGGTTGCTCCTCTTTCAGTCCAGCTCTCTGCTGTGGCCCAGGAAGGCAGTGGAGGATGGCCCAGGTCCTTGAGCCCTGCACCCGCATGGGAGACCAGGAGGAAGCACCTGGCTCCGGGGTTCGGATCAGCACAGCGCCGGCCTTAGCGGCCATTTGGGGGGTGAACCAACGGAAGGAAGACCTTTCTCTCTGTCTCTCTCTCTCTCATTGTCTACCTCTGCCTGTAAAAAAAAAAAAAAAAAAAGTAGCTTTAGCTCCTAAAACATTAAGGTTAAGACAAATTATACAAATATACAAATAGTAGGAATTCAGAGTTGTAGACTGATCTACTATGAAAGATATAGACATTCACATTCTTTAAAATTTTTATTTATTTGAGAGTCAGAAAATGAGAGCGCCTATCTTTTTGTTCACATCCCAAATGCCCCCAGTGGTCAGGGGACTGAAGCCCCCTGAGAACTCATTCCAGATCTTCCATGTGGGTGGCAGAAACCCAACATCTCAGTCATCAGCACTGCATCAAAAAAAGATGCATCATCAGGAAGATGGAATCAGGAACCTACGCCAGCAAGCAGAGGCACTCCAACGTGGGACAATGGCATCCTAACCAGCATCTTAAACATCAGTTAAACATCAGGCCAAACCACCCCAACATTAGTGTTCATGACACTAACATGCACCTCCTAATATAATATCTGTAAGGTGTTACTTTTTCATTCTGTCAAGATTTATAATACTTTAACTGAATTATACAACCAGAATTCTCAGATTTTCATTCTTAGCTTTATATTTAAATGGAGCAGTCACCACCCCAATATTTTTATGACATGGCTTCAGAATCTAAGTTCTGTACCCATACATTTTACATGGAGTAATAAGTTAAATTTGTGAATGGGGGTAGAAAGTCTTATTGTAATGAACACATGGAATCAAAATGATGTCCTTAAGAATGTAATGATTTCAATTCTGACATAATAGCGAACTAAAAAGAGATAAAGATCATTTAACAGATAATAAATTAAAGTCATAAATTCAATACAATTAACAGACTCATTTTCCATTTAAATATATCAATAACCTAATGTCAAAAACAATTTCAGAGTTACACCAAAGAATGAAAAACGATTCTTGGCTGTTATGACCATCAAAAGACACATTACTTATAAGAAGAATATTCAGAAAACTGACTAATAAAAACTGAGGAGAAAGGGCATTAGGTCTTTCCAAGTGTCTTGTCCATACTTTTTCCTTAGGTCTACATACTGCTATATATATGCTAAGTCCTAAGTCAGGTTCCTCAGAGACAAAAATGATTAAGGATCCATTACGAAAGGACTTAGAATCACTTAGTATTCTCTGAAATTGTAATTTTCCTCCTTGTTTCTCAGATGCAAAAAATTCAATTTCTGAGAAGTTTACTGCTGAAGTTATAAAGCTATGAAGTGATGGAGGAAGCTGGGTTTAAAACTAAGTGTACCTGACTCAAAAAGACTCATGGTCCAAATAAATCCTTATCAGTTGACAATCACTTAGGATGCTTCTTAAAAATAGATTCTCAGGGCCCTCTCCTGGACATGATGTTTCAAAATATGGAGTCTGGAGAAACTGTAATCTAATAAATACCAGAGAGTCTTATAATTAGGTCAAAATCAGAAAAGAACACCATTGCAAAGAGATTCAAATAAATCTCTTAAGGTCTAAGCAAATTTGTGTTTGCTCTCGTTTTAAACTTTGTAGGGCACACAGTTCACCTCCAAGAGCCCCAGATGGGTCTCTCCATCCAAACCAAAAAAAAAAAAAAAATAGTTTTCACCATAGATTTTTTTGGATTTGCCTTTTCCAGTTTTTGCCAATCCTCAGAGATACAACCTGCCTTGGCCCAATGCAACTGACTGGCATCATGACCATACAGCATTCAAAAACACCGACACTGCCCCTGCCCGCCCTTCATCTTCCCTCGGTGCTGATTCATTTCGGACTTGGGGAAAGGGCTCCCGGGTACAAATCTCAAAACTTCCCACCTGGATGAACTTCCACACCACTTTGAGGTCACCTATAGGTATCTAGAGGGCAAGGAGCAAATGTAGACTCCCAGAATCTTCGCCCCCAGCTGTTCCCCACATCCCGGGACACCTGAGCTGCAAGTCTCTGAAGCTCGGACCCAACAGGGATGCCCCGGCGACGCGTGTGGGTGACCGATGCCGAGAGGGGAGAGAAGCAGCGGAAAGAGATGTGGTTCCCACCCGGAAGGCGGGCGCTGAAAACCCGGCATCTGGCAAACTATAGCGAAGGCAAACGAGGAGGAGTTTTGAGCAAGTGCGGGGAGAGATGTCAGGAGAAAGCCGCCAGAGACGAGGGGCAGGGAAGCCTCCAATTCCTGGGACAAGATCAGGCAGGTGTAAGACATGCAAGGTCGGGAACCCTATTCCTCCCCTGGCCTTGCGTCCCCCACTCGGCACAAAGTCCCTAGATGGAGCAGGCGCCAAGTCTCCTTGGGCCTCCCCCGGAGCTCACCAGCGTACCCACAAGGCTCTTCCGACGCTGGAACAGCGAGAACAACCAACCTTCAGGAACCCGAAAACGACCCCGCCCGGCGCCTGGAGCGGGAAACACAAGGACCCGGATGCAGACCCAGGCGCAGCAAGGGTCTGCGGCGCGGTTGGTCGGCGCTGCGCGTGCGCACTGCGTCTGAGAGGCCGGGGGTGCTGAGAGATCCGCCGGAGTTCTCAGCCTCGGGGCGCAGTTGTGCCTCCGAGTCTCCAGTTCCCGGGTTGTCCGCTTGCTCCTGCTGCTCCCTGCCCCATGTCTCTCAGAGGTGAATTGCAATAGGTTCTTTAGGCTTATGAAATTTTTTTAGGACTTTGGTACTCACAAATAAGTGTCACTTTAGTTATTGCTCATAGTGCAGCTGTAAGTTCATTTCTTTCCCCTGGAGGTGTGCAATGTCTACTTCGCACATCACAGTGACCGCTAAGCGCTTTGTGTCAGCAGCGTTCCTCACAGTTAAGTTCACGAAGAGCGACCTCTGTGCCGCGGGGACGCGGGAGGGTGTCAGAACCGAGAAGGCGGTAGCAGGGCACTGGCTAGACGAAGGGGTGAGGGAGCAGGAGTCAGCTTTGGACCGGGTTTCACAGGGCTCTGGGGTGAGGGTGAGTTATTGTTAAGATGCAGAGGTTGTGTGTCCTCACCATGTCTCCTTAGAAGCACCGTTTAGGATTCTGTTAGAAACAATGCACATTGTCTGCCAACCTGAGGTGAGGGCACACCCCATCCTGTTTCCCTGGAAACGACAAACAAGATCAACACGAATGGGATGTCCTCAGATGCCTGCACCTGGGTTGTAAATCTAGGATGCTTCTTTAGACAAGAATGGGATGCTCCTTTCTCCCTCATAGGGAGACGTTTTTCATACACTGATAGAAAACAAGGCGGGTTTTTTGCTTGGTTTTGTTTGTCTTAGCATGATTGCCTTTACTTTACAAAAGCAATTTTTGTCACCTTTTAAGGGCTAACATTTGTCACCTAACAAATGTGTATTGAATATCTACCCTGGACAAAAAGCTTTGCAAGTAATAATTTTTTTAAAAAGGTTGGTAAGGAATATTACTGAGCAAAGCAGAACATTTACAAAATGTATTCTTTCTCAGTAGTTTTACTTCTTCATATGTTACTAGAAAAGCAAGTTCTGCCCAGGGTGTGAGTACTGCACATGGTTACTTCTGCCTGGACTGCATTATATCATGTCCTGTCTATCCTTTTCTCGAGGTAGTGCTTCTAACCTCTTGCAGCCCAACTGCCATGTTCTTTGTAGCAGCGTTAAAATAAGAAGTTACTGCAGCCAAAAGCAAAATCTTTAATACTAGTTAGAAAAATTATTTTTGACAGGATGGGAACATGTAAGTTGAGTCATTCATTCCTGCATTCAATATTATCAACGAGAAGGTTGTTTATAAATATTGATTTATCCATATCTCTATGTATAAAGATATGTATCTTTATGTTTGGAGATGAAGTGAGCATAGAAAAAAAAAACGCATGTCTTGTCCTCCCGATAAAGCCTCAAAAATGGAAATCATAACATAAATGACCCCTGACCTTTTGGCTGAAGTTTGTTTTAAAAAACAAAAAGAAAAAAGTTTTAACAGGGAAGTAACAGTTGATCCAGGGAAGTAACAGAACTGTAGTGGCATAGAAATAATAAGAATAAAGGTGTCTATTTGTGTGACAAGAGAGAAACATCAGTGAACAGTCATGTTCTGTTACTCTGAGAAGCTAACAAAGAGTCTACAGTTATCTGAAGTAGAGTCTGAAATGGTTGTTTAGTCAGTCTGCACCTGCTAGTGGAGGCCACTGGACAAAAGATGCTTCATCAGATACTTGTGGGGTTATACACTGAAAACCAAAAACACACAGGATAAGATACCTGTCCATTACAGTGGATGTCAGGAGAGAGAATCACTTCAGAACAGAAGCTGTGGAACTGTTTATACATTATGGTAGCCTTTCCACCTTACGTGCCCTCTTGAGCACTTGGAATTGACGTAATGTAACTTCAAATGACTAACGAAACACCAAAAACAAATTAATCTGAAAATAAACTTGTTTTTTTCCTCCTTTTGTGGGCACTTGAAGGAAAGATTTAAGTGAAATTATATAAAGTTTTTATATATATGTATGTATATAGTTGATAGATTTATTAGAGAAAAGTAAGAAATGGCACAATAGCATTTATGACCCATTAAATTTTTTCATATGCTACAAAATGTTTTAACTTGGTATATCATGATTAGATTTGTATATAAAACAAAACTACCCTATAAGGTTGTATGGAATAGAGTAAGTTGAGTCAAAATTAAACTGTGTGTTGCCAGAAAGAGAATACAAAGAAGGGCCCTCAAAATCCAGCAAATAGATTGCACAGAGGTGTGCAGGTAGGAAAGTAAAGACATATACATGGAATTCTGAATCGTTCCTTTGTGCTAAGAGTAGAATGTAGTTTGAAAAGTAATAGAAGTTTAGTCTGGAAGTGAATAAGAAGTAGCTTATATGTTATGCATGGAAATTAGACTCTGTTTCATATTATAGGCATTTGTGGAGCCACTGTTACTTGTTGTTAACAATTGTTGGGAAATTATTTTGGCTTGGTGGTCATGGAAGCTTTTATCTGTTGGCTTAATGGTTGGCTAATTATTGGAGAGAGATATTCTTAAATACTTGATTTTTTTAAATCCCTCATTCTTTTCTGAGGGATTCTGTGGTGTGTGTGTGTGTGTGTGCGCGTGCGAGTGTGTGTTGGGACACACTTATAACCCTGAGCCAGGGAGTTTACAGTTCTACTTAAGCCCTCACATTCTGCTTGCCTAGAGCTTCAAGGTCACCCATAAGTGAGATCTTAAGGCATTTTTATGTTTTTCTGAAAATGTGCATAGTTATGTGTGTATGTGACTTCTAGCTTATGGATAAATGTTGGAGTTGTCCAAATCCCCAGTCACATCCCATTCCTCAGCCTTTCCAAGCTTTTAGTTAGCCTGTTATTTCCCCAACTTTTACTTATCAGCCCAGCCTGCAGCAGCGTATACATGCAATTGTATTTTACAAACATTTTCTTACTTAGTGGCTTTGCACTAGGTTAAGTTCTAAGTTGGCCAAAATAGGACAGATCTTCCAGTAGGTTCTTCCAGGAATCTTCTGTCTTAGACAAGTTAAGTCTTTTGGGAATGAGGCTTTGAAAAACCTCTAACCCCATTATGTGCTTTAAAAGGTTATAGGAATGTGGGCTTTTTTGGTTTTGTGTGTATGTGTGTTTGGGATGGGTAGAAGAAGCTAAAACACATACACAATCATGGTTCCTACTGGTATCTAGCTACTTTTCTTAAAAAGTTGAATTTGATACAGTTTTCCAGTCTTTTTCTTTCATCTGCTGGTTCTCTCCCCAGATGGCCACAACAGCCCAAGCTGCGCATATCTGAAGCCAGGAGCTTCTTCTGTGTTTCCCACATGGATGCAGGGTCCCAAGGACTTGGGTCATCTTCCACTGCTTTCCCAGGCCATATCAGAGAGCTGGATTAGAAGTGGAGCAGCCGGTACTCGAACCTGCACCCATATGGGATGCTGGTACTGCAAGCAACGGCTTTACCTGTTATGCCATAGTGCCGGCCCCTGATTTTTGTATATGATAAGAGGTATAGATCTAATTTCTTTCTTCTACATATATACAACCAGTTTTATCAGCACCATTTGTTGAAGTATCTATACTTACTCCATTATATGGTCTGAACACTTTTGTGAAAAATTAATTGGCTGTATGTACATGGATTAATTTCTGGGCTGTCTATTCTGTTCCATTGATTTATGTATCTATTTTTATGGTAATACCGAACTGTTTTAATTACTATAGCATTTTAGTATGCTTTGAACTCAGGTATTGTGATACCCTCAGCTTGGTTTTTCTTGCTCAACGTCACTTTGGCTATTTAGAGTCTTTTGTAATTCCATATGAATTTTAGGATTGCTTTTTCTAACTCTGTAAAGAATGCCATTGGTATTTCGATAGGGATTACATTGAATCTGTAAATTGCTTTAGGTAGTATAGATATTTTGATGATATTAGTCCTTCTGATCTTTGAGCAAGGAATATTTTTCCATTTTATTGTGTGTCCTTAATGATTTCTTTTTTTTTTAAGGTCCAGATTTCTCCTTCAATGTTCTGACACCTTGTGTATTTGTTTAGGCTTTCTTTCTTTCTTTCTTTCTTTCTTTCTTTCTTTCTTTCTTTCTTTCTTTCTTTCTTTCTTTTTATTTATTTGACAGGTAGAGTTACAGACAGTGAGAGAGAGAGAGACAGAGAGAAAGGTCTTCCTTCCATTGATTCACTCCCCAAATGGCCGCTACGGCTGGAATTGCGCTGGTCCAAAGCCAGGAGTCAGGTGCTTCCTCCTGGTCTCCCATGCCAATACAGGGGCCCAAGCACTTGGGCCATCCTCCACTGCCTTCCTGGGCCACAGCAGAGAGCTGGACTGAAAGAGGAGAAGCCAGGACTAGAACCAGTGCCCATAAGGGATGCCGACGCCACAGGCACAGGATTAACCAAGTGAGCCACGGTGCTGGCCCTCTTTAATGATTTCTTAAACGTATGTTTGATAACTTTTCATCGTGGAGATATTTTACTTCTTTGGTTAAATTTATTACTCAATACTTCACTTTTTTTGGCTACTGTGAATGGGATTTCATTTTCTGTGTGTTCATTATTAGCATACATAAAACTACTCTTTGTATGTTTATTTTGTAGCCTGAAAGTTTACGGAGATGGTTTATCAATTATAAAAGCTTTTTATTTATGTGTTTAGGTTTTTCCATGTATAACATCATAACATCAGCAAACATGGATAATTTTACTTCCTCTTTTCCAGTTTTGATACCCATATATTTTTTCTCCTCCCTAGTTTTTCTTGCTAAAACTTCTAGAATAAGAGTGGTAAAGTGGATAGCCTTGTCTTGTTCCAGATCTGAGGGGAAACTGAACCCAAAACCACATAAAAAATATTTGCTGTTGAGAATCTTTGCATCTGTATTCATTAAGGATATAGGTCTGTGGTTTTCTTTTCATGTTATGTCTTTGGTTTTCATATCAAAGTAATGCTGGGCTCATAAAAAGAATGTCAGAATTCTATCCTGTTCAATATTTTGGAATAATTTGAAGAGTATTGGAGTTACTTCCTTTTTGAATGTTTTGTAGAATTCAGCAGTAAAGCCATCAGTTGTCAGACTTTTTCTTGATGGAAGACTTTTGATTACTACTTCAATATCATTGCATGTTATGGGTCTGTTTAGATTGTCTGTATTTTCTTGATATAATCTTGATAGGTTGTGTGAATCCAGGAATTTATCCATTTCTTTGAGGTTTTCCAGTTTATTATCATATAGTTTCTCCTAATAGTTTCTTACACTCATTTTATATTACAGTGATGTCAGTTGTAAGGTCTCCTTTTTCATCTAAAATTTTCTTTATTTGAGTTTTTTTCTCTTTTGTTCTTTGTTAGTCTGGCTAGAAGTTTATCTATTTTGTTTATCTTCTCAAAACACCAGTTTTTGTTTTGTTGACCTTTTGTATTTTTTTAAATTTCAGTTTCATATATGTATGCTCTAATCTTTATCATGTCTTGCCTCCTACTGATTTTGGATTTGTTTGTTCTTGTCTTTGTAAGTCTTCATGATTGTATCATTAGATCTTTAGTTTGAAACATTTCTCTTTTTTAAAATCTAAGTACTCAGTGTTATTAACTTCTCTCTTGATACTGCTTTTTCTGTATCCCACAGGTTCTGATATGTTGTGTTTTCATTTTCATTTATTTCTGGAAAGTTTTTGATTTCTTTTTTAATTTCTATAATGACCGATTCATTGACCCATTCAATGACCCAGTGATCATTCATTAGCATGTTATTTAATTTTCAGTATTTCTGAATGTTCTATTGTTCTTCTTGTTGATTTTAGTTTTACTTCTTTATAGTCTGAGAAGATACATGGTATGATTTCAATCTTTTTAAAACTTTCTTTTTTTTTAACTTTTATTTAATGAATATAAATTTCCAAAGTACAGCTTATGGATTACAATGGCTCCCCCCATAACGTCCCTCCCACCCGCAACCCTCCCCTTTCCCACTCCCTCCCCCCTTCCATTCACATCAAGATTCATTTTCAATTCTCTTTATATACAGAAGATCAGTTTAGCATATATTAAGTAAAGATTTCAACAGTTTGCACCCACATAGAAACACAAAGTGAAAAATACTGTTTGAGTACTAGTTATAGCATTAAATCACAATGTACAGCACATTAAGGACAGAGATCCTACATGAGGAATAAGTGCACAGTGACTCCTGTTGTTGACTTAACAAATTGACACTCTTGTTTATGGCATCAGTAATCACCCTAGGCTCTTGTCATGAGTTGCCAAGGCTATGGAAGCCTTTTGAGTTCACCGACTCTGATCATATTTAGACAAGGTCATAGTCAAAGTGGAAGTTCTCTCCTCCCTTCAGAGAAAGGTACCTCCTTCTTTGATGACCTGTTCTTTCCACTGGGATCTCACTCGCGGAGATCTTTCATTTAGGTTTTTTTTTTTGTTTTGCCAGAGTGTTTTGGCTTTCCATGCCTGTAATACTCTCATGGGCTTTTCAGCCAGATCTGCATGCCTGAAGGGGTGATTCTGAGGCCAGAGTGCTGATTAGGACATCTGCCATTCTATGGGTCTGCTGTCTATCTCGCTTCCAATGTTGGATCATTCTCTCCCTTTTTGATTATATCAGCTAGTATTTGCAGACACTAGTCTTGTTTGTGTGCTCCCTTTGGCTCTTAGTCCTATCATTATGATCAATTGTGAACAGAAATTGATCACTGGGACTAGTGAGATGGCATTGGTACATGCCACCTTGATGGGATTGAATTGGAATCCCCTGGTATGTTTCTAATTCTACCGTTTGAGGTAAGTCAGCTTGAGCATGTCCCAAATTGCACATCTCTTAACTCTCTTATTCCCACTCTTATATTTAACAGTGATCACTTTTCAGTTAAGTTTCAACACTTGAGAATAACTGTGTATTGATTACAGTATTCAACCAAAAGTATTAAGTAGAACAAACAAAAAAAATACTAAGAGGGATAACATATCAAGTTGCTCATCAACAGGGTGAGGGCTGATCAAGTCACCGTTTCTCATAGTGTTCATTTCACTTTAACAGGTTTCCTTTTTGGTGCTCAGTTAGTTGTCACCGATCAGGGAGAATAAGTGGTATTTGTCCCTTTGGGATTGGCTTATTTCACTCAACATAATGTTTTCCAAATTCCTAACAGGGATCACTTTTCAGTTAAAATTTAAACACCTAAGAATAATTGTGTGTTAATTACAGAGTTCAACCAATAGTACTAGAACAAAAACAATACTAAAATGGATAAAGTATTACATTGTACATTAACAGTCAGGACAAGAGCTGATCAAGTCACTGTTTCTCATAGTGTCAATTTCACTTCAACAAGTTTCCCCTTTGGTACTCAGTTAGTTGTTGTTGATCAGGGAGAACATGATATTTGTCCCTTTGGGACTGGCTTAATTCACTCAGCATGATGTTTTCCAAATTCCTCCATCTTGTTGCAAATGACCGGGTTTCATTGTTTTTGACTGCTGTATAGTATTCAATAGAGTACATGTCCCATAATTTCTTTATCCAGTCTACTGTTGATGGGCATTTGAGTTGGTTCCAGGTCTTAGCTATTGTGAATTGAGCTGCAATAAACATTAAGGTGCAGACAGCTTTTTTGTTTGCCAATTTCATTTCCTTTGGGTAAATTGCAAGGAGTGGGATGGCTGGGTTAAATGGTAGGGTTATATTCAGGTTTCTGAGGAATCTCCAGACTGACTTCCACAGTGACTTAAACAGTTTGCATTCCCACCAACAGTGGGTTAGTGTCCCTTTTTCCCCACATCCTCTCCAGCATCTATTATTGGTAGATTTCTGAATGTGAGCCATTCTAACAGGGGTGAGGTGAAACCTCATTGTGGTTTTGATTTGCATTTCCCTAATTGCTAGAGATCTTGAACATTTTTTCATGTGCCTGTTAGCCATTTGGATTTCCTCTTTTGAAAAATGTCTATTGAGGTCCTTGACCCAACTCTTAAGTGGGTTGTTTGTTTTGATGTTGTGGAGTTTCTTGATTTCTTTGTAGATTCTGGTTATCAACCCTTTATCTGTTGCATAGTTTGCGAATATTTTTTCCCATTCTGTCGGTTGCCTCTTCACTTTCCTGACTGTTTCTTTTGCAGTACAGAAACTTCTCAATTTGATGCAATCCCAAATGTTAATTTTGGTTTTGACTGCCTGTGATTCTGGGGTATTTTCCAAGAAGTCTTTGCCGGTACCTATATCTTGCAGGGTTTTTCCAATGCTCTCTAGTAATTTGATGGTGTCGGGTCGTAGATTTAAGTCTTTAATCCATGTTGAGTCAATTTTTGTGTAAGGTGAAAGGTAGGGGTTTTGCTTCATGATTCTGCACGTGGAAATCCAGTTTTCCCAGCACCATTTAATGAATAGACTGTCCTTACTCCAGGGATTGGTTTTGGATCCTTGATGAAATATGAGTTGGCTGTAGATGTTTGGATTTCTTTCTGGTGTTTCAGTTCTGTTCCAT